TGGATGAGAGATGATAGATGAATGGTGGATGGTGGATGAGTGGATGGTGAATGGGTGAATGGACATATGGATGGGAGGATGGATGGATGGTGGATGGTGGGTGAGTGAATGATGGGTGGATGGTGGATGAATGGATGGTGGATGGTGGATGTGTGAATGGATGGGTGGATGGATGAATGAACAGTGGATGAGTAAATTGTGGATGATGGATGAATGGATGGTGGATATGTGGATGGGTAGATGGATGGATGGATAGATGGATGGTGGAGAAAGGATGGTGGATGAGTGAATGGTGAATGTGTGGATGGCTGGTGGATGAATGGATGGATGGTAGGTGGTGGATGGGTGGATGGTGAATGCGTGGATGGATAGATGGTGGATGGATGGATAGTGGGAGTGGGTGGTGGATGGATAAATGGTGGATAGATGGATGGTGGACATATGCATGAATGAATGGTGGGTAAATGAATGGTGAATGAGTGGGTGGTAGATGGATGGGTGGTGAATGAGTGGATGATGGATAGGTGAATGGATGGATGGAGGATGGGTGAATGATGGATGGATAAGTGGGTAGATTGGTGGATAGAAGGATATTGGATGATGGATGGTAGATAGATGGAAGGTAATGGTGGATGGTGAATGGCGGATAGATGGGTGGTGCGTTAAGAATGGTGGATGATGGGTGGTGGATTGACAGAGGATAGTATTTTGTAGAAGGACAGTTGATCAATAGACAGATGATGGATGGTAGATGAAAGTAGATAGTTGGCCGGGCGCAGTGGCTCACTCCTATAACCCCAGCACTTTAGGAGGCTGAGGATGGAGGATCACTTAAAGTCAGGAGTTCAAGACCAGCATGGACAACATGGTGAAACCTTGTCTCTACTAAAAATACAAAAATTAGCCAAATGTGATGGTGCACGCTTGTAATCCCAACTACTCAGGAGGCTGGGGCCGAACTGCTTCAACCCGGGAGGCGGAGGTTGCAGTGAGCCGAGATTGTGCCACTCCACTCCAGCGTGGGCGACAGAGTGAGACTCTGTCCAAAAAAAAAAGATCGTTGATTGTGAATGGTGAATGGGTAAATGTATGGATGGCAGCTCGCAGACAGTGAATTTTATTGGTGGATAGATGGATAGAAGAGTGATTGTGGAAGAATGGTTGATGGATGGGAGTTGAATAAAGGAGAATGGGGGAAAGGGCAGATGGTGGCAAACTGAATCATGGTTGCATAGTGGATGGTTGATGGGTGAAACAGAAATTGTAGCTGTTGAATGGATGTGTACGTATGGATAGTTTGCTGCAATGGATGGTGGGTGAGAGAAAGTTGTGGATTTTGGATGGTGAACGGTTGTAGATGGATGTTGGACAAGACCAAATGGAGGGATGGATTGATGGTGGATGAATAATGGGGAATGGATTTTAGATGACGTGTGAATGGACAGTAGGTAGAGAGATAGTAGGTAGGTGGATGAGAGTACAGGAGTTACTGGATATAAATAAATGGGTGGGTGGACAGAGCATGGTGGATGAATTGTGAATGAATGTGGGCTAGGTGATGGATACATGATAGGGGGTTGGGGGAATGGGTCTGCAGTGGATGCTTGGATCTGCATCATACACATTGGAATGGTTGGGTGGTGAGTGAATGGAGGATGGATTTGTGGGTGATGGGAGGCAGAGAGGTAGAAAGATGAACAGCAAATAGATTGTGCATGATGTTTGGATGATTTGATGATGGGGAGATGGGTTTCTGGGAGGGTGGTGAATTGGTCATTAGGGGATTACTGGTGGAGAGATAGATGGTGTGCCTTGTGGATTGGGGAGACACTGGTTGTGGCTGATGGAAGGGGAGAATGGTGGGTGGTTACACTGGGTTCCAATGGCAGGATGGTTGATGAGTGACTAGGGAAGGGTGCAGGAAGGGTGGGTGGTGGAGGACTGAGGGTGAAAGGGAAACTACTCAGTCTTGGAGACTTCTGGGACCTTCCACCCTCCAGGCCATCCTGCTGTTTCCCGCAGCCCCACCCTTCACCTGCAGACCCTGCCATGAGCACCCCTTTGCTTGGCCTGGTATTTGCTTCTTTCATGAGTGATATGCTACATCCGGGGAGGAAGGAGCTGCCACTGGGGGGAGCTCTGCTTCTTTTTGTGTCCCAGGTGGGCACCTTGCCTCAACATCTCTAATACCACCAACGTTGCCCCTTACCCTGTAAGGGATCGCCTTGAGCAGAGGCCCCTGGGCTCAGTGGCTCTGTGGTGCTGGCCCAGCCTAGGACAGGGAGGGTAGGTCCTCATGGTCCTGGAGTTTGGCCGGCCCCTTGCTGGACTCACAGGTCCTCAATCAGGAACAAACAGGATATTTTGGGGTCACATCTGTTTTGCCCCTTGTCTTGCTTCTCAGTGGGAAGCAGGCAGTTTGGTTGATTGGGTTGCGTTGGGCTTCACCTCTGAGTGTCTGGCTCTGCCCCCCATCCCCACCTCCATCGTAAATGCAGAGAGCCAGGTGAGGCTCAGCAAACTTCACCCCTGGGGCTCAGGGCCACAGTCAAGCCTGAAAGGGCCCAGAGGCTGGGGCTGCTTCTCCTCACGGTGGGGCCTCAGGGGAGTGCAGAGGGCTGGATGGTCAGGACTTGGAGCAGCAGTGGAGCATCTTTGACCAATGCTGCCCCACCTGGGCAGGCCATTCCTAGACTGTGCTGTGTGGAGACGGTAGTGAGGCCGCCTGGCTTCCTAGTCAGGGGAGGCTTCCTGAAGGAGGTGGCATTAAAATGAGACAGGAAGGATGAGATCACAGCTGCAGCCACAGTGAAGAGGTTGAATCGAAGGTGGCACACCAGAGCGGGCTGCGGCTGGCTGGGTGGGGTACTGGGATCCGTCTCTCTTGCCCTAAGTAGCAGCTGGAGGTGGGTCCAGCAGTCAGAGGGTGGCCCAGCGAGTTCACATGAGACAGCAGATAGGCAGCAGGGCACTGGGCAGACCAGCGGTACCGGAACT